TTTTCTTTTTGAGACAGGGTCTCACTCTGTCTCCTGGGCTAGAGTGCAGTGGCATCATCATAGCTCACTGCAACCTCAAACTCTAGGGCTCGAGCGATCCTCCTGCCTCAGCCTCAGTCGCAGTGAGTAGCTGGGACTGCAGGCATGCACCACCACACCATTTGATTTTTTTATTTCTTGTAGAGATGGGGTCTTGCTGTGTTGCCCAGGCTGGTCTCAACCTCCTGGCCTCAAGCAGTCCTCCCACCTTAGCCTCCCAAAGTGCTGGGATTCAGGCGTGAGCCACTGTGCCCAGCTCATTTTAAGCATTTTTTAAGAGGACAGTTCTGTGGCATTTAGAACAGTCACACTGTTGTGCAACCGTCACCACCACCCACCCCCAGAAATATTTTTTCACGTTGCAAAATTGAAATTTTTTACCCATTAAGCACTAACTCCCCCTGTCCCCATTCCTCCAGCCCCGGGCAGCCATGCTGCTTTCTGTCTCTGTGAACCTGACAACTGCAGGTACCTCACCCAAGTGGAGTCACACAGCATCTGTCCTTCTATGACTGGCTTATTTAATGTACGTGGTGTCTGGAAGGTTCATCCATGCGGTAGCGTGTACCAGAATCCCCTTCCTCTTTAAGGCTGAACACTCCATTGTGTGTGTGTGTCACACTTCCTCTCTTTGTCACCTGTGGTGGACACTTGTGTAGCTTCCGCCTTTGGGCTCTTGTGCACAATGCCGCTGTGAGCACGGGTGTGCAAACATCTGTTGAAGTTGCTGCTTTCAATTCTTTTGGGTGTTCTATACTCAAATTGCTGGATCCTATGGTAATCCTACGTTTAATCTTTTTGAGGAGTTAGGCATGTGCTCTTGCAGTTTGATTTTTTCCGCTGACATTGGCTCCTTAGCCGTTTCCCACGTCGCTTTGGAACCTAGCCGTCCTCCTTTGATCAGAGTGGCAGCCTTCCAAGACGGACGCTGTCCGTTCACCTTGGAATTGTCATCCATGGACCCAGCAGCTGCGGGCGGGTCAGTCTGGAGCAGCTTAGAGGGCAGTGTAGACGCCAGCAGCTCTGCGCGATCCTGCGGGGTCAGCCCTGGGAGCGGGAGGCTCCTGCACGGAAATGTCTCGTCCTTGCCTCCGCGCGCGTCATGTCGTCGTTTGCTTCGCGACATCCCGCTGATCGGAGACATCAGTGACTTTTCAGCAGCCCAGAGCTCCTGATACTGAGTTCCAGCCTCTGTTCTAGGCATGGGACAGAGAGTCGTGAACGTGACCAAGTCCTTGCCCTCATGTTGCTGTCATCTTAGTGGTTGGGAGAAGCGATAGGTAAAATAATTTAGTAAAACACCCAGTGTGTCAAGTGGCGTGAAATGCCGTATAGAAGAATACGGCAGGGAAGGGCGCGTGGAGTGAGGAGTGGAGTTGAGGAGCGTGGAGAAGGGTGGCCAGGGAAGGCATCCCCCCAAAGGTGTCATTTGACCAGAAAGAGGTGCAGGAACAGCCACGCAGACACCCAGGTGAAGGGCATTCCAGGCAGCGGGAACAGCAAGTGCAAAGGCCCTGAGGTGGATTGTGCTGATGGGTTGGAGAAATGGCAGGGAGGCCATTGTGGCTGGAGTGGAGTGTGCAAGGGTTAAAATGGTAGGTGAGGGCGGAGAAGAAAGGGCAGAGGGGAGGGGGGCCGGTCAGGTGAGCATGTCTTAACTTTGGCTTCTAGACAGAGGCAGATGGGAGAGGCCATGGGAGAGTTTTTTGCAGATGCCTGACTTGATTGGACTCACTTCCATTCTTAAATTGATTAAACTGACATTGGTTTGGTAACAGACCAACTTCTTGCCTCTACCCAGGCATCACCTTCTCCAGGAAGCCCTCAGGGCTTTCCTCTATCCCACCACTTATCACTGTTGTTTTGATGGTCTTTGCCTTTCCTTACTCACTCATAAGACTGTGCATGACATGGTGGTGGGGATGGGAGGACAGTGACTTTGTCTCCCTGTCCCCCTGACAAACCTCCCACCCCTGTCCCCGGTGTCAGCTGACACCTGGCTGGAGCAGACGCTGGGGAATGAATTAATGAATGGTGCGTCCTGGACTTCCTGCAAAGCTGGCAGTGGCTCAGGCACCCCGCCCGCCCTTCCTGGACCTCCAGCCAGGGGAGCGATGTCCCAGCTGGGGCTTCAGTCCCTTTCTTCTAAGGGGAGGCTCCTGCCAGATTTGGCTGCAACGGGCCCTGGAAAGGCCCAGCACTGGGGAGTAGAGAAAGGTCTTCAGAGGTGGGCACGCAGCCCTGAGCCTCCCTTGCCTCTCTCCTAGGGGACAAGGCGCCCTCCACGTGCAGGGTGGTCCTGGGGCCCCACCAGCCCTCTCACCCCCTGAAGCTCCCCGGCGGCCGGCACAGCGTGGACTTCTACGTGGAGGGCCTCGCTTTCCCGGACGCCGACTTCCCCGGGCTCATCACCCTCACTGTCTCCCTGCTGGACACGTCCAACCCGGTAGGCCAACAGGGCAGCCCAGAGCAGGGGCCTGGGCTTCCGGGCAGACGCCTGGCTGGGGAAGGGGGCGCAGAGCGGAGCCGGGCGTGGGGGCTGCAAACTGCTGCCAGGAAGCGGCGGTGCCTGTGACGGTCCCTCCGCCGTGCCCCGCAGGAGCTCCCTGACACCTTGGTGTTCGAAGACAGCGTGACCTTCCGCGTGGCCCCCTGGATCATGACTCCCAACACCCAGCCCCCGCAGGAGGTGTTCGTGTGCAGGTGAGGGGCCCCGGGGTGCTGGCGTGGGGCGCAGACCCCTCAGGAGGAGCCCGATTCCCGGCCGCAGCGCTCCCCACCGACTCACGAGCGCTTGCTGCTGCTTTGGGACCATAGAAAAGCAGGGGAAATTTGTTGTCACTGTCTCTACCCGGCCCTGGTGCAGGCTGAGGCCCACTTTAGCTCCCAGGGGCCTGTAGAAGTTGCTAGAACTGGAAGAGGA